TCTGTTTTCCCCCTCTATAAAATGAACTCGTGCTTAAAAATATTGTCAAGATTAAATCACTTTTTTTTCTTTCATAATTTTTCATTAAAACGCCGTTCTTCGTCCATTTTTTAAAATAAATTCCAGTTCGTTAAGTATTTTTTTCTTTTTTATAGCTAAATATAATAAAGCATAAATGAGGAGAGTGTATAAAACTGATCCGGATAGTTAATAAATAAATGTGATTTTTATAGAGATAAAATGAGGCGAAAATAAATAATTTTAAAAAAATAAATTAAAAAAAAAGTAAAAATGAAGGGAAAATCTTTTAAATAAAATTTAATAAAGATATTTTAAAAGTTTAAATTGAAATTTGTATAGTATTTATAAGAGTTTAAGTTTATTATAATTAAGTTGATTTTTAATTGACTCATGTTACCATGACTTCACCCATCGACCAAGACAGAAAAAAATGAAAAAAAGATTAATGCAATCTAAAGATTTATGCATTATAGACTTTCCTTAACTTGCTTGATTTTCGAATAATTTTACCCGTTTCCGTAGAAGAGATGACGCAGTCAGCAATTTTCTAGTATTTATAGTTTTAAATTATTTTTGTAAATTTTTACTTTTAATATTTCTAGTGTTTAATAGGCAAAATTTTGATAAAAACATTCGAAATTTCTTCTTAGCATCTTGGGGCAAGACTTTCCACAGCTATAATAATTACTGTTTTATTTTAATAAATTAAGTTTTTATTACATTTTTAAGCTTTTATTAAATTTTATAAACTATTATGTAATGAATTAAGTGCGTGTACGTGGTATCAGTAAGTTAGCTACATTTTTGTGAAATTTTTTAAAAAATTGTTATAATAAAAATGTAAACATGATTTTCTCAAGAATACTTTTTTTATATTTTTAAAAGTTATTAGTGTGTGAAACTTTTTAATAAAAAAAATTTTCAATTAATATACTTTATTTTAATCATTTGAAAAAAATTTTTTCTTAATTAGAATAAATATAAAATGTTTAATTTAATTGATATTTTATTTGAATTTGATTATTGGGGAAGCTTTTTACTTGGTTATCCTCTAAACATTATTCTGATTATTTTAATTATTTTTAAAACACCGGAAGAAATGAAAACACACAGCAGAATTTTGATACAAAATTGTGTTTTGGATATTTTAATGTTGACTGTTCAAATGTTTGCACAAATGGTAAACCTTTTAAAGAACCAAAATTAATTTAAAAACATAATTACTAAATATGAGTAATTTTAATAAAATCATTTTTTCTTCTAACTTCAAATAATGGGGATGGGCTTTCATACCTTCCGAATTTTTAAATACCCATTCCTGATGGATTTTAATAAAAATCAGAAATAATTTTAAAATTTAAGTTTTATTTAAACGACGTCGAAGAAAATTTGGTCTTTATTTTTACTAATGGCATTTTCTTTGAATTTATGAAAAATAATTTCAACAAGATCATTTGTCTATCTTTTTTATATATCCAAATGTTTTTTGTCAATTTAAATATGTATGGATTATGTGCCCAATTCGTCTTTAGATATTTAATTCTGAACAGGTAAAACGTAAATACCATATTTACTCGATTAATTCCCCTCCCTTGAATAATTCCCCATGCCACGGATGGGTTGAAAAAATAATTCCCTAAGGGAATTAATCGGGTAAATACAGTATTTAATTTAATCAGAATTTTATTTTAATAATTTGAATTAATTTAAAAAAATGTTGTTCTCAAAAAAGTTATAATAAATTGACAGAAACATGAAAATTAACTACCGAACATATTTTTTGTATATGTTTTCGACTGTTTTATTTGCTGGTTTGTTATATAATCTGATTGTTATTTTTTACGCTATTGAATATATTGATGGAGGTATTAAATTGTTTGATGAAGAATATTTGAACAAAATATTTCCTTATGTTCTTATGAAATTGGTATTAAAATTAAAATATTTCAATAAATTTATTCTATTTTTTGTAGCAAAATTTCCCCTTATTAATTATGAGTCTAATTGCAATAATTCCATATTTTATAATTTTCATTTGTGGATTTAAAATGGTTTATTTTGTTAATCAACATACTGAATTTAATCAAAATCTCAAGAAATTAGTTAAGCAATTGACAAAAACTTTGATAATTCTGGTACTTAATTTGATTTTTAATTTAATTTTAATTTAATTTTAGACAATTATTCCCTCTATAAATCAATTTTTTGTTTTATTAACAATGAGTTTTACATTTATTAACAATACAAATAATTCATCTAGAGAAACTAATATGAATATAATTTATATAGTTCTTGCAATCTTCACTCATTTTACGCCTGTTTTTAACCCAATTGTTTGTATAATAACTAATAAGCCGTACAGAGAAGCTGTTTTTAATCGCTTAAGAATACACCCACAATGATGATTAATGTTTTTTGTTTAACTGACTTATTCGAATTAAAAATAAACATTTAATTAAGACTAAAATTTGTTTTAAATTCTGGTCACTATAATTTTATACTTGTTTAAAAAATATTCTGATTTTCATTAATGTAAAGGGGATCCAATACGGATCTTTTACTTTTGAGTTGAAAAAATAAAACAAAAATAAGATTTTTAATGTTTTTTTCAAGTTTAAATATTCAAAAAATAAATTTAAGAATTTAAAATCTGTCATTCGTGAAGAATAAAAATTAGAATAAAAATCAGAGCCGAAACTATATTTCCGGAGCAATTTTTCCGGATACAATTCTTTCGGAAACCATCAAGATTTTTCGAAAATCTGGAAACAATAAAATTACAACAAATTTTTTGCTTTATTAAAAATAACTTAGGGCGCCCAAATGTCCCGCCCCTATTTGTCTCTGCGCCTATTCGAGCAGTATACCCTTCTAAAATTCTCATAATTTTCGTCTGCGGCGCTGAAAATGGGACGCATAAATTTTCATGGGACGCATGAACTGGACAAGAGCCGGAAATGCCTGGAATTGAAATTAGACAGAGCGGCCATTTTGGATAAAATTTCATTTATTTTGCTTGGTTGCTTGGCGTTCTGCCCAAAAATGAAATTTTGTAACTCTGAAACCGAAATTTAAAAGTCCGAAACCAAAAAGAGATCAGTTTTAAACTCGATTTTGAAGGCATTGTTGTATTGTGCTCTTTTTCTGTTATCAGATAAAGCTTGTGTCAGACTTTTTCATCAAATCCCTACCTAACAGTAAAAAAATCATTGCCTGTTTTGAACTTTCCTTAATTACATCACAACTAATTTAATTTTTATTAAATTTTAGATTTTAATTTTACAAAATGTCTGAAGGTTCTACAAATTCTGATTTTGATTTAGTGGTAATAACTAAAATTAATTTAAATTAATTCTTTCAGCAAATTGTTGATAAAAATGATTTTGATATTCAAACAAAGCTTGACAATCTTTTAATTGAATTTAATGAAGAAAAGGAGAAGAATGTTAAACTTGAAGAGAAAAATAATTTTCTTGAGAAACAAATGAATGATGTGAGGAAAAAGGGGGGAGGGGGTGGTTAAGTGGTTATTAAGTTTTCTGATTAAACCTTTTAAAAATCCTCTTTTTCACAATAAATTGAATTGTTCAAAAAAAATCTTTCTGGCAAATAAGCTCTTTCCACAACAAACCACAAATACTTAACCACCATTTTAAAATTTAAATTAAAATAAAGATGAATGGAAGGATGGGAGAATTGGCAATTAAATTTGAACATTTAACTAAAAATTGTAAACGTGCGGTTAGTTTATTTAAATTTAAATGTTTTATATAAATATTTTAGACCGTAAATTCTTTTATTTTCCTTCTCTCATTTTCTTAAAAGTCAAAATTGTCAATTTTGACCAACTCTGTCATGGGTCATCCGCTTCATCAATTTGGACATATATTTGGACATATGGTGTGTTTTTTATGGTAACTCCTATGCACATCAGACCTCTAACACGTAAAGCTTATCGCCATAGAGTTAATCAAAATGAGCATTTTCGACTTAAATAAGAAAATGAGAGAAGGGAAATAAAATAAATGAATTTTAAAGGATAAGTACCAATATTTTAGTGTTTTGTGCAAATTAAGAATGAATGGGTTGAGGCTACTGATGATTGTTGTGCTAATAAATGTTTGGAGGAGATAGACACAGAAAATACCAAATGTGTTAAGGGAAATGGATTTGTGAAATTGCTTGACGATGAGAACATTAAATATATTAATTGTGAGGGGAAAGGTAAATACATTATTTTAAAGCAGCGTTTCATGTCTAAAGGTAGTGTAGTTCTTCAGGGTTTACTCTCCCCCACCCGAAATGGAGAGTGGAAGAGCTGGGGGTTCTTGTGTAGTTTACGCCCCATAAACCCCACCCCTTTTTCTTTTCTGTTCCTTTACTGAGACTATTTAGACTATTTTTTACTAGTTAGAGAGAAACAAGAATAGTGGCCACGTTTTTTTAGAGAGAAGAAAAAGGAGCGGGGTTTATGGGGTGTAAACCACACAAGTATCGAGCTGGGTTGTATTTGGCAGTTGTGGTGTATGCTTTGGCGGCGGGGACTTTAGGATTTACCCCCTCTCCCCTCCTGAAATGGGGAAAATAAAAATTAGGGATAGGAGGGGATTGAGAAAGTTATTTGATAAAATTTTGATTTTGACTTATCTCTAGTTGCTGTAACTTTTATTTAAATATTTTTAGGTCGTAATAAATATGCGTGTGTTTTTGCTGAAAATAATTTTGATAAACCGGAAGAAGACTGCACCAATTATTCTTTCTTTTATTTTGAAATTAAAGGTAAAAAAGAAGGAAAGATTAATGGTTATAACAACTGGTTAAGTATTAGTCTTGAAAATGATAATGAGGATTCGATTAGTTTGCTTGCAGAGGATGGAGTAATTGAAAATGAAGAAGAGGAAGTATTTCGACTTGATGGTTTTTGTTGGAAAGATGGGGATATTTTTGGATGTGGATTAGTTTATCCACCGACTGAGAAAATGCCTGAAAAGTTGCCATATATTTTCTTTACCCAAAATGGGAAGCAAATTGGTTTGGAAAAAATTTTTGGAAACAAGAAAATCTCTTTTAATTTTTAAGGGAAAGCCGTATTATTGAAAGAGAATTTTGACACTTATGAACCAAATGTTTGGACTCGATGTTGTTCTGTAGAAGCAAATTTTGGGAATGACTTGGAAGCTAAGCCTTTTTGTTATGACATTACGAAACATTTTGTGATTAAAGAATTTTATGAAGACTCTGATGTTGATTGAATTTAAATATGAATATTTTGAGGAAGGTATAAGGAATTTAAAATGATTAACGTTTAATTGATTTATGACAAGGAAATTGATTTAACTTTTGAAATTTGTTGTTTTTGAATAAATTTGTTTTACAGAAGTTTAAACCCCGCACTTGGTCCCATGCCGACCTTAATTATTTACTTTGAATATTTTTTTTGTCATAAAGTATCCTCAAACGTCGGATCTTCAAATGTCAAATCCTCAAATGTCGGGTAGACAAAGGATTTTCTTGGCGAAAGTTCCATTGACGAAATTTCCATTGTCAAGTGCTACCATAAATTTTTTATTTTAAGCTTGAAATATTTTTTAAAGATTTTTTTCAGAATAAAATTCTCAAATTTATTTATCTATGACGATGACTACTGGATGGCCGGTTAATGTTAGCAGCAGTAGCCATTCGTTTACAAATAATGGGCCTCAATATCCAACAAGGAATTATAGCAATTTAAATAGAACTATTAATTTGTTTGTTTTTTTCCTTTAATTTTCTTAAAATTTATTTTTCAAGGTATCCATTAACAAATTACACTTTTGGGACAAAAGATGCCCAATCAGAAAAAGATCATTCTGTTCAAGCCCGTTTTCAAAGAATGCGTGAAGAATATGATAAAGTTGGTATGAGACGCTCTGTCGAGGCTGTTTTGTTAGTCCATGAACATTCTTTGCCTCATGTTCTGCTTTTACAAATTGGCTCTACTTTTTTTAAATTGTTTGTTTTGTTTAATTAAATAGGGAAAATTTTCGTTTTTAAAGGCCTGGCGGTGAATTAGGTGCAACTGAAAATGAAGTGGATGGATTGAAAAGAATCTTGAGTGATGTTAGTTTGTTTTAATTTTACATAAATTATTCGTTTTTCTTAAACGTCATTATTGGAATGGATGCTAAACATGAAAAATTGGAGCTATAGTGCAGTATACTGGAGGTAAAATTCCGATACAGAACGCATACCATTTGTATCGACGAGCTGAGTGGAATGACACCAAGCTCAACGAAATCCGAATTGATTGGAGTTGGTTGCAACGGTTTGTTTTAGCTCCTACCTATGGTTATGTAGAAGTTTTTTCTGCGACGGAGGAATTCAGATATGCCCAACGCCGCAAAGATAGGAATAGGTTTATGTTATTGGTGATTTTTCGATGATTTTTGTGATTTTTCGATGATTTTTGTGATTTTTCGATGATTTTTGTGATTTTTCGATGATTTTTGTGATTTTTCGATTTTCGGGGGTTTATATCTCTCCGTAGCTGCTTCAACATATAGAGTGGAGAGACGAGTTGAATGTTATGTGTTTGTATCGAAATTTTGCCTCCGGTGTACTGCACTATATACTAATAAATTTTAATTATTTTTTAGACTCTTGGAAAAGAAGATACTCCAAAAAGTCAATGGATTGTTGAAGATACAATAGCTAATTGGTGGCGTCCAAATTTTGATCCACCTCGAGTAAATAATTTAAACTAAAAAATTATTTATTTTTTAAAGTATCCATATATTCCTGCACACGTTACAAAACCAAAGGAACAAACAAAACTTTTTTTGGTTCAACTTCCGGATAAAGGTTTTTATTTTTAATTACGAGTTTTTTATCGGTGTGGTGGTTGTAAATGAGTGTGATAGTGAAGATTAATGGTCCATAGAAAGAAAATTATCAAAAAGGCAATAATATTTTTGAGTAACAAATCCTTTGAAAAATACTTAAATCAGGCCCGTAGCCAGGGGAGGAATCCCCCCCCCCCCCTCCCGAAAAAATCCTGACTACGGGCCTGACTAAAATAATTATATTTTTAAGCATATTTTGCTGTACCAAAAAACTTCAAATTGGTGGCTGCTCCACTCTTCGAATTGTTTGATAATTCAAATGGATATGGGCCTTTAATTGCGAGTCTTCCACAAAATCTGAGCCGGTAAAAGAGAGAATATTTAATTAAAATTCTTTTTCAGTTTCAATTTTCTCTACAATCCTCCATAAAAACATTTTTTGAAGAATGAACAAGAAATATAAAATCTTTGATAACATTAAAAGTATTTCTTTTTGTTTTATTTGAATTTGTTGTGTTGGTCAATTTCCCCCTCATTTATTTTTTTGTTTATTTATTTTTCTTTGCTTTAAAGCATTTTAAGAGAATTTTTTTTTATTTTAAGGGAAGTTTTTTAAACTAAAATTAGTTTTTAAAGGGAGTTTAGATTATGTATTTTAAAATATTAAACATTTTGGGCTTTGTGAAAATATCTAGGGATAGCTCTGGAAAATATAATTTACCTATGTTGTGTTGCTACATGTGAGAGGATGGTATATAAACTAAACTGTTCCTAGTTTAATACTTTTATATCAAGAAATATTTTTTAAAAATCAAAAATACAAATAATATATACAAATAAATATTTTCATTTTTTCCTTGGTCCAATTTGAAAAGAATATCTTTTTCTACTTTTTCCATCAAAAAAGTTTATTTCACTTTGATTTCGTTCCACACGTACTTGTACAAAACCGCCATTAGAAAATCCAATTTGAGAAAATGGATTCCAACCAGTTGGATATCTTTTAATTTAGGTAAATTAATTTTTTTTATCGAGCTGGGTCTGAACCAATCTGGGTTTTTCCTGTACCCAGAGTCCATGCCCAGGCATTTTTTGACCTTCCTGGGTTTTTCGTTGGCTCGGGTTTATCCTGAACTACAGGCCCATGTCAATAAACCAAACCCAGGAATAAGCCCAGGCTTTCAAAAATTCCGATCTCTAGTGGCTCGTACCGAAAAATATATAAAGAATTATCCATTTTAAGAAAAATTTTTAAAAAATTACCTAAAAAGTAAAGAATCTTCAGAAATATCATTTAAATGTTTAGCACTTCTATCAGATCTTGAAGCTGCCCCAGAAACAATATAATTTACAAAAGTTATTTCTTCTTCTTCCTCCTCTTCAATATCATTTTTATCCAAATTTTCTTTTTCAATTTTTATGTGTTGTAAATTATGGTCATGACCACAAAAATAGGCATTAACTCCAAATTTATGTAAAAGAACATCTAATTGTTGAAGACATTTAAATCCACCATGTTCACAAGTTGAATATATTGGGTAATGACCGGCAACAAATAAATAGTCTGCACTGAAATTAATTTTCAAAATTAAAAAAGGGTTTGGTCGGCCCTATCCCGAAAGAAGGGTCGAATCGTTTTTTTCCATTACTTTTTATTAGTTTATAAAAATGGTCAATTTTCCTTAGAATTGATGTATGTTGATGTTTGCCTTAAGGAAAAATGGAGAAGGACAGACAATGACAGAAGAACACAGACAGACAAAACAAGGATGGACCAAACACAAACGGACACATGTCCGACCGTTCGTGTCCGTCCTTGTTTTGTCTGTCCGAGTTCGTCCGTGTTTTGTCTGTCCGAGTTCGTCTGTTTTTGTCCGTCTTGATCCGTCCGTGTTTTGTGTCTCCGAGTCCGCCCAGCAAACAAAAACAAGGAAAAATATAAAAAGTTAACCTCTGTCACCATTTTTCCTTAAGGCAAACATCAACATACATCAATTCTAAGGAAAAATGACCATTTTTATAAACTAATAAAAAGTAATGAAAAAACGATTCGACCCTTCTTTCGGGATAGGGTCGTTTGGTCTTAAATTTAAATAATTTTTTAAAAATTTTGTGGAAGGTTAAGAATTCTTTTGTTAGGGAGAAAATTATTGTTTTCTTCATGTAAAGTTTACATTTTTTAAAAAGAGCTACTCATGTTTATTATTTTTGTATAAATTTTAAAAATTTTTGGCTCACTATTTATGCTAATATTTATACATAAAAAAGTATTCTTCCCTAAATATTGTCCAAATAATTAAAAAAAAATCTTTAATTTTATTCCTTCCAAAAAATAAAAACAAACTTTGAATTCTCCAATTGTTTTTCAATCCATTTCCATTGTTTTTCAGCTAATTTCTCGTATTTCGGTTCTGGTCCATTAGGTTCTCTTTTCTTTGAAAACATCCAACTAAACAGACTCTTTCCTTGAATATCTTCAGTATTTCCACAAAGAACAATTGTGTCAATCATTAAAATCTCAAAAATTACTGGCTTTGAGGGAGATTCAGTTAAATTTTGAAAATCAAAAATAATTCGAATTTTATAAAAAAGATGGGGAAATGTCCTTTTTTTAGAAGAAAAATATTATTATTTATTAAAAAAAATTAAATAAATTACCATTTAGAGCTAAAATTTGTATGGGCAAGTTGTGCAGAAATATTTCCCAAATGATCTGAAAATTAATTTTAGTTATTTTAAATTTAAAAAAACCATGATTTCCAGCAATTGTATACCAAGGAACCAAAAGATTCTCATTATCATAAACTTGTTCAAAAGAATCTTCAAATCGAGAATCAAAAATATCAGAAACTCCGTTAAAATAAAAATTATCTCCAACATTAATTACAAAATTAAGAGGCTCTCCTTGTTCTAAAACAACATTGGATATTGCTTCTGCTACTCTTTTTTGAGCATAAGAATAGTAAGGGTAAATTGGTAAACCTTAATAAAAAAAATTTTTTTAATAATTTTTTTAAATATTATTTTCTGAATATAATTTTTCTATTAAAAATAACCAGGACATTCTAAAATCAATTTAACCTAATAATTCCCACTCCCTTTATAGCAACCCCAATCCGAAAATTTTTTATAAATTAAATTTCACAACCATCCTAATTCTTTAAAAAAATCAAAAAAAAACCTCCAATATCTCCAACAATTACAAAATTCAAACTTTTCGCCTTTGGATGGGAACATCCTAGTTTTTCTGTACAAGATATTCGACCTGATGGAGATAGTCTAATTCTAAAAGTTCTTTCGTCACCATCTAAATTAATAAAAAAAATTATTTTAAAAATTATTTAAAAAACCTTCAAAAAAGAATAAAAAAGAAAATAAAAATAAAGGGAAAATTAATAAATAAATTCTTTTTTTCATTCTATTCCATCATCAAAATTTGATTTTGATATGTACATAATAATAGAAAATATATAAACCTTTAAAAAAGAGGAATTTAAGGTAAACAAAAAATAATTTATATTTTACAAAAAATGTTGAAAAAAACATTCAATATCGACCAACTTCTAGAATTAACACATGATAGCAAACAAAAATAATTTCCAAAAAAAGTAAAAATTTCCCGATTATTTTTCACTAAAAATGATTCGTCACAAAAAAGATAAAAAAAGGAAATGTTCGATTATGTATTAATAGTAAATATAATTTTAGAATGTAATCGGCTATTCACATAGTTAACCCCAAAAATGAGTAATCAACCAAAGTTTAATCGACCAAAAATTCAAAATATTTTAAAAAGGAAATTGTTATCAAAAAAACGAAAATTCAAAAGAAAAAATTTCAAACAAATTTATTTTTAATTGAGAAAAAATTTTTTGTCAAAGTAATCAGCAAAATGTTAAAAAAATCAAACCAATTGGCAAAGGCAATAAATTAGAATTTTTGAAAATGCGAATTGACAAATAAATATATTAATCAATGAAGCATTGCCCGGCCAATTGATTTTAATAATCAATAAAAAGCCCAAAAAGCAAAACATTTGCAAGGAATGTGAAAAAATATTTATTTGAAATTTTACAAAAAATTCTTTTTAATTAACTTATAAAATTAATTAGCTCTTTCCAAAAAAATATTTAATCACATTCACTCGTTTTTATCAACAACTTTATTTTACTAACAAAAATTTTAAAAATTAAAATGTCCCCCCTGTTGTGGCTGCTGTTCTTCCATTCCAATAGCCAGTTCACTATCTTCCTCATCAGAAAAGAATTCCTCAATAATTTTATAAGAAATATGATAGATTTGCTCAGATTCGTGTTCTTGAAGTTTTTCGATTTTGTCTAAACCTCCGCATTCCTCAACGCGTTCGCAAATCTTTGAAAGACGGTCAGGATCACTGAAATTTAAAAATCTTTGTTAAAATATAACAAATAACTAACTTTGAAGTAACAGTATTCAAAATACTAAATAATGCCTCCAACATATTAGCCACCAATTCATTATTTTTTACCGCCAAATTGCTACAAATTGCTTCAATAGAACCTTTAACACGCAAAATCGCCAAAATTTGATTGACTGCACCCCCATGAGCTAAATTTGCAACTGCCCATCCAGCCTCGCATTGAAGTTTGTGTTCACCATGTTCGAGAATTCGAAATATTATAGGGAGCAATTTGGCGTCAATGACCTCCTGAATATAGGAAAAATTAAAAGAATATTTATGGATAATTAGAGAAATGTGGACGGAAATTCAAATTATAAAACACTAAAAAAATCTAAAAATGCCTGTATTTGTTCCGCATTTCCAGCCAATATATTTGAAAGAAGCCAACAACATTCTTTAGCAAATCCAGTATTCTCAGAATTTAACAAACGAGGTGCTGCATTCGTTAAAATTCCGCTATTAATAACAACCTAATTAAAATATTTTTCAACAAATTTAAACAAAAACAAACAGAAGTCAATTCATCGCTTCCAGTAGCGAAATTTCCTGCCGTACGAAGAGCAGGCGAAACAAGCGAATTCTGGCCAGAGTTGATAAAGTCGATTAGCAAAGGCATAACATTCTCGTTGTTTGCCAGTTGAATATTCTCGTCAGTTCCATCAGTTAAATATGAAAGAGCCCAACAAGCTTTAAAAAGATAATAATTATAAACAAATAAGAGATTTTTTGAAAAAAATAGCCCAAACACAACTTGGCTAGACTTACCATCACTTTGCGCTTGAAGATCCTAAAATTTCAAATTACAAAATTTTCCATTTAAAAATACATTGTGTTTGAGCAAAATAGAGATTGAAGGCGCAAATTGTTTCAAAATTTCAAAAGGAGTCGGCGGCTTCTTATAACGACACAAATTTGAAATAGTCCAAGCAAGGATACGAGCAAAAGGAGGGTCAAAATCAGGAGTAACTTGCTTTGTCAATTCAACAAGTATTGGAACAATCCCTTGAGCAAATAGAGCATCTCGCATTCGAACACTGTCACCAGCAATATTTGCAATAGCCCATAAAGCCTATTAAATTGATTAAAAATAAATATTTCTAACAAATTTATGGGGAGTTTGCTGAACTTTACTTGAAATAAAGTTTAGTAAAGGTAACGAAAACGACCGAAATTGAACCAAGAATATAAAGAACCTGTTCCGCCAGCTTTAATGATGAGATTGAAATAATATGAAGAAGCGGAGTAATTACTCCAGCATCCACCATCGCAGCCGTTTGACGAGAGTTACCAGAAACAATGTTAGTAATAGCCCAGGCTGCTTCAAATTGGACTTTTTCATCCTAAAAAAATATTTAAAAACATAAAAGCAATAAACAAACCTGAACAGACAAAGCTTGAACCAAAGCCAAAGGAAAGCCAGACTGAATAATATGGTCAATTGGTGGGTCTGCTGAACGAGAAAGTGTTCTGCGGACAGCTTCAAAGGCATCTCGAATTTGTTCAATTGTTGGCTGAGCTTGAAGAATTGCAGCAGCTTCCTCAATTGTCATCACTTTCCGTTCAGGTGACTGTTGAACTTGTTTGTCTTTTGGTTGTTCTTCAGTATCAGACGCAGAAGTGTATGACTCATTAAGGTCTACAGTTAAATTTCGACGTTTCATCATCGCATCATCTCCCTTCTGTTTGCGAAGTTCAACCGAAGTTTCAGTTCGACGACGACGCAAATCCTGAAAATATTGATTTCTATTTAATTTTTAAAAGTTAATTTACATCAGGTTTTCCAGCATTTTTGTAAAGTTTAGCTTTATTTTCAGTAGACATTTTTGTTTAAAATCTTAAAAATCAATCTATTATGTAAAAAAACTAAATAAAAAAAAGAAGGTAAATAATCTAGAAAGTTCCCAATCAAATGAAGGTCGCAAAATTAAAAATGCCGTTCTTTTAAATTAAAATTGCCCAGAAAAACACATTAAGCCAAAAATAAATTTATGCCAAAAAGAAGAAAATTTAAAAATTAATTTCTCTGTTCTTCTATTTTCTGAATTTACACACAATTTATTTTACACTTTACATCCATCTCTTTACTATTTATTCTTTCATCTCTTTCTCTAATTGTCACTCCTCTTTTCATATACTCTTTCCTTAAAATTTTATTTGCTTTTCGGACTTCCTCGTGAGATTAAAATACACTGATCGGAATTTTTGTATTAAAATTAGGGGTCGATCCCCGTCCCCTGGGAACGGAATTCCCCGGGGCGGGGGAGGTTCCCTACAGAGCCCCCGTTCCCCGAACCCGAATTCCCTACAACCTCCGTTCCCCGTAAGCCTAGCCCCTGCCCCGTAATATCGAACCCTAATTAAAATATATTTTACAAACTTTTTATATTTAATTGTGGTCTTTAAAATAGTTGTTAATTATCTAATTTTTTGGTTAATTTTGCAGAAACTAAACCTTTAATTCTTGAACTTTCAAATTTAATTTATATTCTTCTTTAATTTTATTTCTATTAATCTTTAGAATATATTCTTTCTCTGTAAATAACCTTTTTTTAAAATGAGCAATGATGAGACTAAAAAGGTTTTTCTTTTATTTTTAAATTTCAAATTTCATTTTAGTCTTCAATACCTCGCTCTTTTGCTACATTTTTCCCTTCATTGGCTTCTGGGGCAATAGCTGGAGCTATCGCCAAAACTGCAATAGCTCCATTAGACAGAACAAAAATAAACTTTCAAGGTTATTTTAAATGATTTTTTAGTATTTTTTTCATTTTTTAGTCAATTCCTCGAGACGTTATTCTTTTAAATCGGCCCTTAAATTTGTTAGACATACTTATAGAGAAAGTGGATTCTTTGCTCTTTATCGTGGAAATTCTGCTTCTTTGGCAAGAGTAGTACCTTATGCAGCTATACAATTTGCGGCTCATGAAGAATACAAAAAATTATTGAATGTTGATATTGAAGGGTATTTTTTTAATATATAAAATGTCAAAGAAAAAATATTGGCAAAACATTTCTGTCCTTTAAAAACAAAAAAATAAAGAATTCCTCGGGATAAACTGACAATTTTCTTTACCTTCTTTTCTTTCAAATATTAAGAAAATCGTTATTTTTCATAGTTCAACACCCTATCGACGATTTTTGGCTGGAACACTTGCAGGCGTTACTGCTGTTATTTTTACATATCCACTAGATACTGCCAAAGTATTCTTTTAAAATTATTTTTTAAAAATTTTCAAAATTTAAAAGGCTCGTCTTTCTGTCTCAACAAAACAAGAATACGAAAATTTAAGGGCTGTTTTTATCAAGGAATGTAAAACACACGGATTTTTAACTTTCTATAGAGGCCTTTACCCAACTCTTTTGGGTGTCGTGCCTTATGCGGGTCTTTCATTTTTTACTTATGAAACGCTCAAACTTATTTACAAAAGTGAGAAAAATTTTAAAAATTTAATTTTTTTCAAAATTTAGAAGAATTCGGTGATAAACCAATGCATCCATTATTGCGTATGAGTTGTGGTGCTGTTGCGGGTACAATAGGTTTCTTTTGAAAAATTATTATAAAAATATTTCGTTAAAAAATCGTCAAAAATTATTAGCCCTTTCCCTTCTAATTATTTTCCATTTAAATTGATTTTTAGGACAATTTTCTTCTTATCCACTCGATATAATAAGGAGAAGAATGCAAACAGGAAAAATTGGTCCAAACAAAAATGTAATTCGTGTACTTGTTGAAATTTGGATTTTTGAAGGATTGTTTAGAGGACTTTACAAAGGAATTAGCATGAATTGGGTATTGTTAAAAATAGAAAATAAAATGTGGATATATTGCAAGGGCTTATCCAGAGGATCGGGGTCTAGCTAGAGCCCCCTCCCCTCAGAAATGGGGGAAAGACACCAATTTTTCGATTCCCTTTGATATACATATCAGGGCTGGGCTTAATGAAAAAATAAAAAGCGAAATGCGAAACTTTTCGCGCCAAAAAATGCGAGAATGCGAAAGATGCGAAACGCGAAAGATACATATTGTGGAAAATAAATTTTGACATGCTAAAAAATTCATTTTCGGATCAAAAATCTTCAATAAAGCAATCTAAATATTTCCAACATTTTTTATTTCCTTTTTTTATAAGAATATTTTTAGATAAAAGGTCCAATAGCAGTTGGCATCAGTTTTACAACTTATGATTTATTAAGTATTCCTTTAAAACGATGGTGGACTTCTCGAGTGATTAATTGAAAAAAATATTTTTTAAATCAATGGAAGGCATTAGAAATCAGGTTTTTGTATGTTTGTGTGTGTGCCATCTTCAATTACTACAAAAGACGTTTTTTTATATTTTATACAATTTTAGGTGATAAAATTAGTATTTTTAGAGTTAGTTAATATCTGTTAGAGAAACATTCGGGTAAATGTAAAAATAAATCTAGAAAATATATTTGAAAGGGATTTTAAGTCCAAAATTCTTTTAAAATTTGTTTGGGGAGGGATGGCCTCGTGAAACGATTTTTGATTTGAAAAGCCTTTAACCATTTCTATTAGACTAAAAATATGAACTCGATCAATAAATAATTTCAGGGAATATTTGACCACAAATTAAAAATAACTTTGAAAAATATAGCTTCAGATTTATACAGTAAATTTAGTTTAATACCAAAAAATTCACATATTTAACCTGACTAAAAAATTTCAATTAAAATTGCCTTATTAGAAATATTATCTTTTTTGCTCATACTTTATTAACAAAAATATATTTTTTATAATTTATATTAGTTATGGACAGAGATTTAACAGAAAAATATAGTTGTGGAGAAATTCGGGTTAAAGGTTTTTCTAAAATTAAAAGAGAAATTAATGAAATTACGTCTCTGTTCTTTTAATATTACCTCTAAATATTTTTGATTAATTCATATTTAAATTTACTCATTTTAATTACAATTTTATTTTGCCACACTTTTGCAGACTAATAATTTAAGCAGAAATAATTTCTTCGTCTGCTTTTCCACCTATACTTTAACTTTCTTTTTCATAAATAGTTGGCGTGGCTTGCTGTATTTTTGCTACGGTAATTGACAGGTGGAAAAGCAGAACGAGTATTTTTTGTCCGCAAATAAGTGTGCGCAATAAATGTAAAATAAATAAGTTTTTGTATTTAATTAAATTTCTAGATCGATAAACGTTTTATTTTTTATTAAATTCGATTCATTTATTTATATTCGTTAAACTTTAATTTTTATACTTTTTTGTCATTTGGTTTTCTTTATTTTTTAAATTGATTTCTAGAGGCTGTTTGAGCACTGACAATGAACACATAAACTCTAAATTGTTGGGAAACTTGTTTTTAGTAAATATTCAGGTTTAACAGATTTTATTTAATATTAGAATATTAATTTTGCTTTCCAATCATTTAATGATTTAATTTTATCAAAGTTTATAAACTAAATTTGTTTTCATTAGTGAACGACATATCGACTTTTTCTTAAGGAAAAAAAGTCGTTTTAAAAAAATCTACAATTATTCGCGAACGACTTTTTTTTAAACACACAACGCCAGAACTACGTTAATATCGATGTTTTGCGCCAAACGATTGCGAATCGACTTTTTTGTGTCTCTTTTTCTCTAATTTCACATTATATTTCCTTTCTCTTTTTCTATTAATTTTCGTTCGTGTAGTCTCTCCTTTGGAATTTACAATTTTCCATTTTTATAAATGTTCAGTCCCTTTTCTGTAATTTTTAGGGATTTTTCCACATATCTATATTCTTACTATATGGAGAGGAGAAGTAAGAGGAGATGATGCCAAAAGTGGATTGAAAGCCTTTAACAGGAAGATGAGTGAAATTTTCATTGAAAATCCGGAAAGTCTTTCCATCATCAGATGTGCTGCTTACCTTGATCCTGCCGTTTGTTTCCCCACCTCCCCTAAAACAGATCTCAAATTAAAAATCAAGACAAACTTTTTTGTGAAATTAATTTATGTATCCGTGATTCAAAAACAAAGTAAATAATTATAAGGACGACAAAACAAAATAAATTTAAAGAAAAACAAAGTCAACGAGGAGATCAATCCATCAAAACCTTTTACATTAATTTAATCAACTTCCTCCATACGCGAAGCGTCCTCCTCTGCACCGGCAATCTTTTCGACAGGTTCCCCAGAAGTGCAGGGTTGTTGCTCTCCTCCTTCCAAGTCCTCTTCAGTAATATCCAATCCTAGTTTTACCATTCGGTAAATACGTGAAGCGTGTTGTTGTGGATCTTCAAGAGAGAAGCCTAACACTAAAAATAAAACAAATATTCCAAAATTCTTTAAACAAAATCTTAAATACCTTAATAACTTTGCAAAGTTTCTCAAATTTAACTTTATCTTCTTCAAACCTCGCTTCAAACCTCGCTTCTTAAAAAACTTCAAAACCTCGCTTCTTAACACGTTCAACAAAAGCTGAGTTTTGAACAACTTCTTTAGACTCGCCAGTAATATAATAAATGCAAGTCTGATTCTCCTTCATTCGTCCAACATAATCCTTCAAGCTAACAAGTTCATCGCCAGAAGAGGAAGTGTTGTAACGGAGATATTCGGCAAGCTTTTTACGGTTGACAGAATCTTCGTGAATACCCAACTAAAGAACAAATAATTTTCAAAAAAACATTTAAAAAACCTTAAGATTCTTGCTGAATTGTTCATAAAATTTCTTAAAGTTGGTCTTCAGCAATTTCATCAAAAAGTTCGATACACTTCTTGACCAAATTCTTTCGGATCACTTTAAGAATTTTGGATTGTTGGAGCATTTCACGAGAAATGTTAAGAGGAAAGTCCAATGGAGAGAATTCCAATGGAGAGACAACGACATAGAAAATTAATAGAAAAAGAGAAAGGAAATATAATGTGAAATTAGAGAAAAAGAGACACAAAAAAGTCGATTCGCAATCGTTTGGCGCAAAACATCGATATTAACGTAGTTCTGGCGTTGTGTGTTTAAAAAAAAGTCGTTCGCGAATAAAAGTAGTTATTCGCCGCGAATCGACGAAAACGTAGATATGTCGTTCACTAGTTTTCATCTTTAGCCCTTATTGATTTGAATTTTAAAATTTTGTATTTCGAAGCGAATTTAGAGATTTCTGTAACAGAAGACTTTCTCTGCTTTATTTGTTGAATTTCGACCTTGTGTAGTTAGCAAGGTCGAAATTACACTCATGTTAGAACAATGCAGGTTTTTAAATTTAGCACTTGTTTTGGAGGTTTTGCAGACAATATATTTGCGGACTTTTTTTTATTGAGTTTCTTCGTTGTTTTTTTATATTTTAGAATAATTCGTCAATTAAAATTAGTGCAATAAAATTAGTCGTAGAATTTATTTCGAGAAAGACTGCATAATAAATGAAAACTTACCAGTAGGGAAACATACCATTCGAAAATCAAAGGTTGTTTAGTTGGAAATTTTTGTAACAGTAATATGCTAGTAACGAAATGACGACTTTTATGTAAAAACTGTCCGCAAAATAACCATCTAAACAATACAAGTGCATAAATTGGTTGAAGGATAAGTGTCTAAACTATTTATCGTTTTCTTTAAAACTCCACTTACCTCATTTATTGATTTTATCGTTTTTAATGCTTCATTTGTGTTATTTAATTTTCTAATTAATTTTTTATAGAAGTTTAGCTTTTATTAAAATATTTATTTGATTTTATTAACTACACAATATGAATCAAACTCCAAAGGATTCGCCTCAAGGTTTTATAAGTATTTTTATTTGAGCTTAAAAATCAACCGAGATTCTCTCAGAAGAATAGCTAAATTGATGGGGTTATCTTTGATTATGTGAGAATTTGTGTAATCTTACAATTAGCATTAAAATTTTATCTTTTTGTTTTATTCTTGAATTATCTTATTTTCAGCCATTGCTTACAAGAAAGGCGATATTGTTTGGGTTCTTTATCGAGGGAAAGAATTCTATCCTGCTCGGGTTTGTTTATTTTAGTCGAGGAATTTTACTTTTTTTTAATCTAGGTTAATGCTTATTATCCAAAGGAGAGGAAGATTTCTCATATTTGGTTTCCACTTAATCGTAAATCTATTAGCGCGATTTTTAAGGCTGATTTGAGCAGAGTTCGCCCTTTTAAGGTTTGTTTCATTAAAACATTTCTCTGGATTTATTATTTTATTTAGCTCGAGGATTCTTTGCCGGACAATGCTTCTCAAGAATTGGAATATTCATATGATCAAGCAGTGAGGATCTTACAAGGAACTAGCATTGAAGAAATTTTGGAAGAAAATGATCGAATGATGGAGGAGATGGGTATTCCTGTTCAGGTCAATTTTGTGGCAATTGTGAAGAATCCGAGCTCACACTTGAATCCCGACTACACACAGTCAATCAATCAATTGATTGGACAAAATGTCAGAATCTCGATCAATTTATTTTAGCTTTTTCGGTTGAGCCATTAAGGCTGTTGTCCGGATTCTTCGTCATTACCAATTTCGTTTTTGAAGGATATTTTTGCGGAAAAGTTCTGCAAACATATATTTTAGCCTCTAAAATTTTGTTTCTTAACAATATTTAGAAGCCAAAGTCTTCTACTAAAAAATCTTTAAATACTTCGGATGGTGTTATGCGCAAATCTGGGGCTTTACCAAAAAACACTCCTAAACAATACAAGACACCTCGTACTGTCGCATCCGTTCATCAACAACAACCTGAGGTTGAACCTCCAGAAGTTCAGTTTATTCCTGGTGATCCAATAATTGTTGATACCTCGATTGGAATGTGGCCTGGAATTGTTTGTTTATTTTTTTAATAATTCATCATTTCCATTTATTTAGTTCCATTCTTATGTTGATGAGCCTGGTCCAGATGCTGATGATATTCGTTATACTCTATTCCCGCGGGATCCATCTTCTGATATTTTGGCAGGCAAGAAGGCGAGTATTGTCCATTTTCCTCTTCCACACATTGAACAGTCGATTAATGAGGGTGTTGGATCTGATATGCTTATGGAGGCTTTACGCGATGCTCTTCAATATGTTAAGGTTAATAATGATTTGTTTTGGTTTTTAAGCTCTCTTCAATTCTTATTTAAATATTTTTTAAAGGTTCGTAATGCAACTCATGAGGCAGCTAGTGCTAGTAAACATCTTGGAATTTCTTCTCAAAATGAACATTTTCTTAAAACTTTGCCAACACCTTCTGATGTTAAAGATACTCCTATTGTTAGTGCGCAATCAACTAGCTCTTTGAAAACTCCAAAATCAATTCCAAAGAAGAAACCTGCACAGAAAATGGCACCTCGAGCTAAAGAATTGAAGGAAGAGGTATTTAAATAACTTGTAAATTTATATTTAACTTTCGGTAATTATCCTCTGGGATAGAGAAATCCTTAAAGGCTTAATTTTTATGTGGATTATTCTCTTAAAGGCTTATAAAAAATTGTTTTTATTTTTACCATTAGTCCAATTTCCTCATTATCTTTTCTATTAAATTTTAATTTTTAGATTATTTCAAAGCATGACGAAGAATTATCGAATTCGCGTAATATTGACGATTCGACAATAACTACAATGACTCCTCCAATAGCTGTTACTCCAAAGAATAAGACCTTCATTACTGACAAACGTTTTCGACTTTCTTCAACTTCTTCTGCTGAAGTTATTTCTCCATATCAACCTCCACCAGAAAAGAAGGCAAAATCAATTAATAGTGACGAACACGAGTCATCGTTAACTGAAGAGGAGAAGCAGCAACAGTTGGAATTATTCCCTAAAAAGGTTATTTTGTGGACTTTTTAATTTAATTTTAATCAATTTAGGAGACACCAACAAATCGTGAGAGTATTGGAGGTACTTCATCATCATCAACTATTACTACTTACAAACAAATTACAAAAAAGCCACACAATGGTCATCACATGAATAGTCGAAGTCCTGTTAAGATTAATAATGATTTGCCGCCAACATTTCCAAACGATTCTGAACCTATGGATTTTGAACCACACCAAAGTAAATCTACATCACCACAGAAGCATTTAATTGGAACAAATTTTGGTTATTTTTTTAATTATTTGAAGTTTTAAAAAATTATTTTTAGCTGGAAAGCCTTCATTATTTGATTTGGCTTCTTCTGAAGATGCACATGAACATATGCGTCAAATTTGGGTAGAATGTGATGAGACTTGGTTCAAGGAAATGTTGAGTTCTGAATTTTTGCAGTTGGACTTTAGAAGTGGTTTGGAATTTTTAAATAATTTCTTTTTTGATTTTAAAGTTTTATGAATATACTTTTTAGTCAAAATTATTTATATAAAATCCTTTCGTAAGGATTTTCTAATGTTTCATTTTTTAGGTGGATTACTTACTTTTAAAGAAACTGAGAAATTAATTACTGAAGTTGAAAAGTGGATTGTAAGTATTTAATTTTTGTTTTAATTCTTCAAAAATAATTTTCAGAAAATGGGAAATATTACTCCAATGAGTCACTTCCGCGAACAATTTTATATTGCTAAATATGTTTTGCCGGAATTGTGTACTTATGCTCTTTCGAAGGTTTTTTTAATTTAAATTTTGTAGAATTATTTAAATTTTATAGATGCAAGATATTTCTATGATGGATGCGAGACGTATTTATGAGGAGCGACGTGAAAAGTATATTTTAGTTTTTTTAATAAATCTAATTACAATTCAAAAAGTAGGGGAGGGGGGGTATCCTCAAATTAAGCTAATTTTTGTAAAGAAAAATCGAGTAGAATACAATCTCTTAAAATTTATTTTTTAAAGGGCCAAGCACCAGACAGGTTTAAATTCGACTTCCCCAAATTCTTTGGATACTTTGATTATGGCTGCTAGTATGAAAATGGCTGAAGAGAAAAATGGTGGATTGAATGAAGGGAAGTAAATTGATTGATTGACTTTTTAAAATTATCTTTATTTTTTAATTATTTACCCATTTTTAAAGGGAAGGAAATTAAACAAAAAAATATCCTCTGCTTATTTAAAAAAAATAAAAAATAGCCACAAAATTACTATTTTGTTTTCCTTATATTATTTACTTGCTTTTTTGATAAAAATTGTCTCTCTCTTTGCTTTTCCTTTTATGGTAATATTTTTAAAAATTTATTTTTTTCCTTTAAAATTGAAATGACAAAAAAAGGGAAATTGTAAATTATTTTGGGGAATTATAATTTTATAGAAAAAATTAAAAAAAAATATATTTCTATATTTAAATAACAATTTAGAATTTAATTGAGAATATAACGAAGTTGATGCCAAAAGAAAAATAAATTTCCTATAAAAATATTAAATTCTTCTAAAAATTTGGCTTCAACTCTGATTTAAAATTTTTAAATAAAAAAGAGGGGGAATTATTTAAAAATAACAGAAAATAAAAACTAAATTTAAACTCAATTATTTTGATGATGATTTTGTTGTTGTTGTTGACGTTCTTCACCTAATTCCCCAGCTTCTTCAAGTAAAGTTAAACCCAATGGAAGTAATACAAAAATAACAATTACAATTATTAATATTATCCACATATCTTAATTTTAATTAAATTAAAAAAAATATTTTTTGAGAGAAAAGACCAACAAAACTCAAAAAATCATCCTGTTCTTTTTAAAAATTATCTTTATTTTTGAAAAAGTTAAGAATTGTTTTACTTCAATTTTTGAAAAAAAATGCTAAAAAATCATTCCCGTATGAAGCCTACTATTTAAGTTTTCCCCTTTCCCCCAAAAAATTTTTTTTAAAAAATACTTGAAGAATTATCAGGAACCCCAGCATCAACAAAATGGAATTGTCCACCTTCAAGTGAAGGAGAAGGCAAATTTTGTCTAATAGCTGCAACTGTTTTATCAGCTTCGTCTAAAATTCCTTCAATTGTTTGACGGGCATATTTTGGTGAATTTTGGCTATTTTCTGATCCATTTAAGGAATTTTGTGAAGATTTAAGTGGAACAGAGTCCTTCAAAAAATGAATTTTAAATTTTGGCTTTAAATATAAATAGAAATCCCCCTAAATTTAAAAAAATTAAACAAACCATTAAATTTTCATTTTGTAAATTTAAATTCAAAATTAGTCCATTTCCAATTTCTGAAGAAATATTTTGTTTTTCTCCTTCAATTTCAATTAATTGATTACTTTGTTGTTGTTCAATTAATTGTCTTTTTAATAAATATGTTCGGCTTAAGGGAACTTTAATTACTGGAAATGCATGTATTTCTTGATCAGCAACTATATTATTTACACGCTTAATTTCTGATACCTTTAAAAAAATTAAAAAGAATTTTTAATTGGAAAAGGGAAAATCATAGAAAATTAAAAAATGAATTGAAAAATATTCTCAGAATTGGAGGATATTTTTAATTAATCATTATTTACAAGCATTTTTTGATGGTGAGTTAAAGAAAAAATCTAAAAAAGGAATAGAAAAATTATTTTTCAGACATTTACCATTAGAAAAATAAAATTATTTTTGCTATTCCAAAAAATAATTAGAAATAAATGTACCGTATTTATTCTAATATAACGACATGTCGTCTTAATTTTCAACCCTCTTCTAGAATGTCGTTTTATTAGAATAAATACGGTGATTTTAAAAACCCTCCCAATAATTTAAAAACAAACCGGAACAGAATAAAGTAAAGATATTTGCATTAAACTTTCTCCATTTTTAACATTATGTTCTAATAATTGAAAACGTGAAGAGCCATTTGAATGTGGAGATTCTTGACGCCAAGGATCTGTTGCTGTATTTGAAGAATGTTGATTTTTAGATCTGGATCGAAGTTCAACACTTTCGTGTAAAGAATTAGAACTTCCACTACTGTTGTCAAATAATATATAAGAAGAAGAAGACATTTTTTGAAATAAAAAAATCTGGAAAAGAAATTAAATTTTATTTTAAGCCAACAAGACTAATTGAAAATATACTTTAAATTTATAATAACCTTCTTCCATTTTGTATAACCTGAAAATAATTAAAAATTAAATTCTTAATAAAGATTATAATATTCCTTTTAATTGAACACGTATGCAATTCAAGTTGCCCTAAAACAAAAAATATCAATCGACGATTAACGATCAAAATTATCAGTAGATCAAATGGAGAATTTTGCCCTAGTAGATAAAATGAAATTTCTTAACGTTTAGATAAAATGAAAATTTTTGTTTGATTTATAACGATTTGCCAAATTTTAACAAAAATTAAATTTGTCCAATTATTTAAAGATTTTTTTATTTATTTGTCTGGTTTATAATTTTAATCTTTTGATAAAAATTTTTTAGGGTTTTATATTAAATAAAGATGCAATTCAGCAAATTATTTAATTACCGTCCACTTCTACAAAATGCACGCAAAACTTTTGCAACTTCATCTTCCCGTCAACAGGAAATTCGTCGAGTTACTTTAATTCCAGGGGATGGAATTGGGCCAGAGATTTCTGCTGCTGTTCAACAAATTTTTGCTGCAGCGAAAACTCCAATTGAATGGGTATTTTTTGTTTAAAAGAAGTTTTTGTGTTTTTGCCAGAGTAAAGTCAATACAATACTTACTAAATCCCTTCTTTAGATTTTCAACTGTTGTTAATTATTTTTGTTAATTTTCAGGATCCAGTTGATGTAACTCCTGTACGTGGCAAAGACGGAGTTTATTCAATTCCATCCAAATGCATTGAATTAATGCATGTAAACAAAGTTGGATTAAAAGGTCCTTTAGAAACTCCAATTGGAAAAGGGCATCGATCTTTGAATTTGGCTGTTCGACGGTTTTTAAAGCTTTATTTTAAAAATAATTTTAATTTTTTAGTGAATTCAATTTATTTGCAAATGTACGTCCATGTCGTTCTTTACAAGGTCATAAAACTTTGTATGATGATGTAGATGTTGTTACAATTCGTGAAAATACTGAAGGAGAATATTCTGGGATAGAACACGAGGTTTTTTATTTTAAAAATTTATTTTTAACTATTTTGCTTGAATTAACGTTTTATTTGTGTTTAATGAGCTATACACAGGCATACGTTTTGTCAAATTCATTTTTGACTTCATTAGTGTGGCAAATATGTTAGGATTTTCATTATTTCGCTATTTTCCCTTGTTCTACCTTTGATAATAAATTAATTAAAGTAATTAAACTTTGGGTATTTGTTCCGTGCTAATAGTTGTTTGACTCCATGTTTATAACAGATTCATTTGCAATTAACTTCAGGAAACTAGGAAGTAAATGGAAATTGAGTCCATTGATTTCAAATTATTTAAATTGGCATCGCCAATCTTTTACAATTTAATTTTTCAATTCTAAATTTTTTAAAAATGTTATAAAATTTAGATAATTCCTGGTTCAATTATTCAATGCATTAAATTAATAACAGAAGAAGCTTCTCGCCGAATTGCTCGTTTTTCTTTTGAATATGCTCGAAATAATGGACGAAAATTGGTTACTGCTGTGCATAAAGCTAATATTATGAGGTTTTCTTTTTTTTTAATTATTATTTTAAATAAAATTATTAAAGAATGTCGGATGGTTTATTTTTAAAAATGTGTAGAGAGGCATCTAAAGATTTTCCAGACATTCAAGTATTTTTTCTAACTTTGAGAATTTTGGATAAAATAATTTTTTAAGTTTAAAGAAGCTTATTTGGATACAGTTTGTCTAAATATGGTACAAAATCCAAATCAATATGATGTTTTGGTTTGTTTAAATTTTTTTAATTTAAATCTAATTTTTTTTAATTTAAAGGTAATGCCAAACCTTTATGGCGATATTCTTTCTGATTTATGTGCTGGTTTAATTGGAGGGCTTGGAGTTACTCCTTCTGGTAATATTGGTGAAAATGTTGCTGTTTTTGAAAGTTTGTTTTTTGTTACTTATGCAAAAGATATTTTTAAAAGTTTTTATTTTGGGAGAGGAATTCTTTTAGAATAAATTTCCTTTACATTTCTTCTAAATTTAAAATTAACTTTTCTCTAAAAGGTGTTCACGGAACAGCACCAGACATTGCCGGTAAAAACAAAGCTAATCCAACAGCATTACTTCTTTCGGGTATAATGATGCTTCGTTATATGGGTTTAGAATCATATGCAAATAAAATTGAAAAGGTTTTTTAATTTTACTAAAATTTTTAAAAAATATTTTTAGGCTTGTTTCGATGCAATTGCAGAGGGAAATCAAAAAACTGGGGATTTGGGAGGTAAAGGAACTTGTCAATCTTTTACTGCAGATATTTGTGCAAGAATAGTTAATATGGATTGACTTTAAAGGAAAAAGAAGAAGAGGTAAAAAGGGCCCAGAGAGAGAGAAGTTAGTTGAAAAAGAAATAATTTTAAAAATTAATTTTTTAATAAGGCATTATATAATAATCAACGACAAAAAATTATAAAATATATAAATAAAGTTGTAATTTTGGGGAATTGAGCTAATTAAAATATTTTTAGGAAGGTAAGGAATAGGGAAACTGAAAATAATAAATGGATATGAAAGTGGGAATTGATAGGGATAAACAGAAAATGTTTAATTTTTGGGAGGCATATTTGTTTACAAACAGGAAGTTTTTTTCCATAACAAATATAAATCCAAAAAATTTGATTTCCAAAAAAAGATTATTTTTATAATTATTCGAAGAAATGTTTTAAACAAAAAATTACAACTCTGTTTATATATTTTTAATTTGTTTTTCTTTTAATGCTTTAGATACTCTTTAATTGTTTTATCCAGTTTTTGAAGACAAGAAATTTCTTTAAAAAGAATTTAAAGAATTTCTCTAAAAAATTCAAAACAAACTGGATAATAGTTTAAACTTTTTCTTTATATTTTCGCCTTTTTTTTAAATTCTTCCTTCCCACCTCTCTCCTATTTTTTCGAGTGAAACACCTCTCTCCCTTTTTTTAGTTTTTTGTGTGCTTTATTAAAATTTAGGAAAAATGACAAAGACCTAGTCCTCAAATATATTGTTTTTTTTTAATTTTTCCTCCTAAAAGTTAATTGTCCTCAATAAATGATCTTTTTTTAAAATAAATAAATAATCAAATCTGTTTAAACAATTTTTTAAAATTAGAAGTATAATTCTTTATTTAAAAAATAAATGTATTTTTAAGTCAACAAAATGCAAAGTCAAAATAAAGGTCTCATACATATACATAAAAATATATTTTCTCTAAAAGATCCTAAAAATTAACAAAAGCTTGGAAAATAAGAGAGATCGTACTAGACAGTTTTTGGAGACGAATTAAAATTAAAAAAAATCCCCCATCATATTCCAAAAACTGTCATTAGCACATTAATTAAGATAAGTAGGGGTCAAATAAAGTCTTTGGCAAGTAAATACACTCAAATTTGGAAAAGGAAAATACATAGGAAAATCAAATCAAAAATAATTATTTAGGTAAATTTACTTGCCAAAAAATAAAAATATATATCTTTTTTTCTTTTTAAAAAATTTCCCAAAAAACAATTCAAATTTTACTTCCATTAAAGCATTTCTTCAAAAATTGCACAATCATTGTATATAAATGCCATCGGACTGAACTTAAATTATGAGAATCATCAGTATATACCTTAAAATAATTTTATAAAATTTTTAATAAAAAATTAATTTTTAACCATCAATTCAAATTGAACATTTTCTTCAGTTAAAGCCCTCACAAATTCTGCCGTGTTTTGATAGTGAACATTATCTGTAAAATAATATTGTTGGAAATAATGTTAAATTACAATCAAAATATATGTGATTTATTTTTTATGATTAATTCTTTATTTTAAATTTATTTTTAAATCCAAAAATGTCCTTTTTAAATATATTTTCTTATTCATACAATTTCTTAAACTTTATTTTTATTTAACATTCTTAATCATTTTTGTCATTTCCCTGTTTATATAAGCTCATCTAATTCTGTTATTTTAGCTTCAGCTTCAATTCACTTTTAAAAATTCCCAAAATCCCCTTTAGCCTAATTGTAAAATTATTAAATTGAATAAATATTAATAAAGAAATATTCCTTTTTTGGATAAATTTAGAAGGGCTAGAAATAATTAAAAAGATATTGTTTCTAACATTTGGTGCCACTCGGTCTAATTGTTCAAACTGAGCTCATCGGAGCGTTCAATTTTTGAACGTGTTGGAATCGCACAACGTGTTTCTTCGCGCCCAAATCAACAACCAAAGACATCAATTCAAAGGAAAGTTTTATTAAATAGAAATCGGGTAGCTCAAAATTTATTAAATAGAAGTTTAAAGGTTGCTCGGCAAAAACCAAGCGAATTACAGCCGGCTCAAATACAACAAGCTGCTAATTCACAACCTTTAATTATTCAAATACAGCCTCAACCTGCTCCAAACGCTCAACAGCAAGGAAGCAGCGTCCAATTAAATAATAGACAAAATTACCAACAGCCCCGACGTTATTGGAGGCATTGGCAACAAAATCAGAGGCAACAGAACTACCGACGACCAAGAAATCAAAGAAATTTTCGTGGGCAGCATAGGAATTTTAGACAACACCGCAGAAACTACCGATTTGTGAGAGGCCAACAAACCTTCCGTGGTCAACAACAAGCTTATAGAGGTCACATTTACCGAGGTCCAAGGACATTTTACAGTAGGCAATCTTTCCAAAGGGGATATGTCAGGAGTAATACAAGAGGCAATCAATGGGCTGAAAGAGCGCCTCATCAGATACAATACAGCGGCTACAGACGCCGATTTTAGAATTGCTGCTGATTTAGGTATGGAAGAAAAAATTTTAACGGCCAAAAGAATGATAAAATATATAACTTTAACTAAAAAGAAAATTAGTAATTTATTAAATGATTTAGACGGCCAGACAGTCAATTATGTAAATCTTTTCCCTACTTTAGACAGAGAAGAAAAAATAGAGGAAAAGAATGAATATAAAAATTTCGCAAATGGGCCCGAGGGTTATCTAACTATTATGGAAGAAGCTCGGGAAATTATTGAGGCCCTAAATGAAAATGAGTATATTTTAGAAGAAATTTTAAATAATAATACAGGGCAGGCACAAAGTCAGGCAAATGAAATGAATGTCAAATTGCCAGAAATAAAACTGCCAGAATTTTCGGGGGATACTAAAAATTGGCAAAGTTTCTTCGAAGAATTTAAAGCGGCAGTAGATGAGCAGCCAATTCCTGATAAAAGGAAAATGCAGTATTTAAAAAGTGCCTTGAGAAATGAAGCCCTAGAAATTGTCGAGCCATATCCGTTGGAAGCGGGTAATTACAAGCTCGTTTTAGATCTCCTAAAAAATAGATTTGGGGATAAAATAACAATCAGAAGCAGCCTGCATTCTGAATTAAGAAAATTGCCCAGGGCGAACCAATTTGTGCCCGAAATTAGAAAAACTTTAAGAAAAATTGAGGCAATTATAAATCAGTTAAAATTAATGGGCGAAAATACTGAGCACCAACAGCTAATTTTAGAGGTGGAATCAAAAATGCCCAAAAAGATACTGACTGAAATATTTAAGAGAAAAAGAATAGACCCACTATGGTCTTTAGAAAAATTATTAAAATTTTTAGATGAATATTTAAAATTAGAAGAAGACGTGCACATGCTTCATAAAGATTTCGGTTCAGAATTAAATGAAAGGCCCTATCAGAAAAAAGAAAATAGAGAGCCTGAAAAATATAAAAATAGAGAGCCTGAAAAATATAATAATAGAGAACCCTATAAAAAATTCAAAGGAACAGCTATGTATGCGTTCCAAAAAGAGCATAAGCACGCATGTAAATTCTGTTCTCTCTCTCATTGGGAAGATAAATGTGAGAAATATAAAACTAAAGAGGAGAGAATAAAAAGAATAAAAGAGCTAAAAATTTGTTTTAAATGTTTAAGAAATAATCATCGCTCTATAGATTGTAAGGCCAATACATTTTGTTTTAATTGCAAGAAAAATGGCCATATTTCTGTTTTTTGTCATAATTTATATACAAAAGGGCAACAAAAACCAAGTCCCATAAAAAATTTTGAAAAATTTGGGAATGATTTCAATAAAAGAAAACAAATGTGTCTGGCCGTCAGGGAAAATTCTGATAATTCTGAAAACGAAAATGACATATTAATACAAAATTTTGCAAATAAAAAAGAAATTAAAGAAAACAATAATGAAAAGACACTTTTACAGGTCGCACAAGTAAAAATAAAAAATCCCACAAAGAAGAAGTTTTTAAATGTGGAAGCATTTTTCGATTCTGGATGCGAGATCACCCTCTTACATAATTCAACTGCGGTAAAACTTGGATTGAAACCCATTGGTCATAAAGAATTTAGAGGAATTGGACTTTTCAATAAAACAATAACTGTTAATGCGCCTATTTATATTATTGATTTAATTTGTTTAAATAATGACAAAATAAATATGATTGTTAGAGGCACTAATGACATGGTCGAATTTTTAGAAAAAATTAAAATAAATAATAGAATTGACCAAATGTCAAAAATAAACATTGGGCAATTCGAAACGGTAAAACCCGAAATATTAATAGGTGCCGATTATTACGGATTAATTTTTGGAAATAAACAATTAAAATCTGGATTTTTAACTGTTGATACAAAAATTGGAAATATAATTTATGGAAAGGGAAAAATTTCAAAAGGCTCTGAAAATCCAAAAATTTGTCAAATGGTAAATACAGACCTTTGGTGGGAATTAGAGGGATTAGGCATTGATATAAAAAAGGAAACTGAAGACGATAAATTTGCTATTGAACATTTTAAATCAAATATAAAAAGGGAAAACAATGGTCGATATATTGTTTCCTGGCCCATTAAAGAAAATCAAACTTTAGCTGACAATTTTTGGATATCAATGAAACGATTACAAGGGGTTTGGAATAAATTAAATAAAAATCCTGAAATATTAGAAAAATATAATCAATTATTTGTTGAACAGGCTAAAAATTGTATTATAGAAAAATGTGAGAAAGAAAGTGAGATAGCTCATTATATACCCCACCATTGCGTCATAAATGAAGAAAAGAAGAAAGTAAGAATTGTTTTTGACGCTTCTTGTAGGACAAAGGATGGATTGAGTTTAAATAAAATAATTTTGAGGGGTCCAGTCTTATTGCCTGATATTTGTGGAATGCTTTTAAGACTTAGAACCTTTAAAAATTTGATTGCGGCTGACGTAAAGGGGGCGTTCCATCAAATAGCAATCAATGAAGCTCAACGTGATTTAACACGATTTTTATGGATTAATGACATAAAGGCACCCCCAACTTATGAAAATATTGTTAAATGGAGATTCGCAAGGATGCCCTTCGGGGTAATCGCAGCTCCATATTTATTAGCAGCTGTAATTAATTACCACATTGAAAATTTGAATTCCCCATTGAGTATTGAATTAAAAAGAGGCATTTATGCGGATAATGTATTTCTTTGTGCCGAAAATGAAAAGGAGGCGAAACAAAAGTGCCAAAAAGTATCCAAAATATTTGAAGAGGCAAAAATGAATTTGCATGAAATTTGTAGTAATTTATCTGAAATAAATAAAACATTTGGAGATAAAGAGCAAAAGAACCCTATAAAACTTTTGGGTCTCAATTGGAATTTAGAAAAAGACACTCTTTTAATTGAACTGAAAGAAATAAAAGAAACAAAATGGACAAAAAGAAGTGTCTTAAAATCTTTAGCTAGCTCTTTTGACCCTCTTGGATTTTTAGTACCCGCTAATTTGCCCCGAAAATTATTCTTCCAAGGTTTGTGGAAAACAGATAAAACTTGGGATGAAGAAATTGAAAAGACGGAATGTGAGGATTGGAATAAAATTAAAGTAGATTATGGCAATTTCCAAATAAGGCGAATTTCAGTCAATAAAGAAAATCCAACTGAGTTACATATTTTTGTCGACGCTTCGGTTAAAGCTTACGCAGCGGTCGCTTATTTAAGACAATTTGATAAAAATGGGGTACAAACATCTATAATCATGTCTAAAGGAAAATTAGCCCCGATAAAAAATAAATTAACAATCCCCCGATTAGAATTAATGGCAAGCGTTGCTGGAAAAAGAATGTCAGATTTTATAATAAAAGAAATTGATATTAAATTTTCAAAAATATATATCTGGACGGATTCTAAATGTGTACTTTCATGGATTTTATTGTCAAACATTGATAAATTACCAAAATTTGTAAAAAATAGAATTAAAATTTTGAGAGAAAATAAAGAAATTGAATGGAAATACGTTCCCACAGAGAAAAATCCGTCAGATATTGCGTCACGTGGTTGCACTACAAATGAACTGAAAAATTATAAAGAATGGTGGAAGGGTCCGCAGTTTTTGAAAGAGAGTGAAGAACAGTGGCCCCAATCACCAGAGTTAAAAAGGAATGAAAAAGAATGGAGTAAAGATTTGGAAGAAATAAAAATTGAAATGTTGACAAAGGATTTAATCAATACGGAATTGCGTAATGAATGGCCTAAACTTGTTAATATTTCTACCGCGTTTTGTCAAGCAATAAAAAATTTTGGAAGAAAAATTAAATTTAAAACGGAATTTGGGTCAAATTTACAAAAAATTAAAAATAAAGTAGATTTAAGAAAAATGGGTGAAATATTGTTAATAATAGAAGCACAAAATAAATACCCGCCAACTGAAAAGGAAATACAAGAGTTAAAAATGAAAAAAGAAAAATATAATATATGGACTTGCCCAGGGCG